TATCTAAGTTAGAGTTTGTTTTTCTTCCCGATTTGTAAAAAAATCCTTACGTGATAGAAAAAAAAATATTACTTTCGAAATCTGTGTAGCTGAATTATGGAAAATCTATTAAAACTAAAACAACTGTTATGAAGTTTAAATTCACAGGCCTGTATATTTAATCATTCATCCCACGTTCCTAGATGATCCTTGGCAGAGGTGGTATTACATCTGGCATGTTTAAAATCAAAGTAGTATAAGATCCTGAATGACGTTTAAAGTCAGAGTAATATAATATCCTGAATCACGTTTAAAGTCAAAGTAATATAATATCCTGAAGCATGTTTAAAGTCGGAGTAATAAGATATGCTGAAGCATGTACAAAATTGGAGTAACATAATATGCTGAAGCATGTACAAAATTGGAGTAACATAATATGCTGAAGCATGTACAAAATCGGAGTAACATAATATGCTGAAGCATGTACAAAATCGGAGTAACATAATATGCTGAAGCATGTACAAAATCGGAGTAACATAATATGCTGAAGCATGTACAAAATTGGAGTAACATAATATGCTGAAGCATGTTTAAAATCGGAGTAATATGATATGCTGAAGCATGTATAAAATCAGAGTAATATAATATGCTGAAGCATGTACAAAATTGGAGTAACATAATATGCTGAAGCATGTACAAAATTGGAGTAACATAATATGCTGAAGCATGTTTAAAATCGGAGTAACATGATATGCTGAAGCATGTATAAAATCAGAGTAATATAATATGCTGAAGCATGTATAAAATCAGAGTAATATAATATCCTGAAGCATGTTTAAAATCAGAGTAATATAAGATCCCCGACAACTCCTCAGACAGAACTATTTCCAGGTTATCTTTAGTGTCTGAAATCATTTGGCTGGATGCGAAATTTCTCTCAAGAGCATCCTATGTGAAATCACTGAACACTCCATCAGTCAACCCCCTTTTCTTCAATGAATGTGTCGACCATTTCAGGGTAATAGAGGAGTTATCAAACAGCATATGGCAGCACAGAGAGCAGTAGGTTGTAGTATTTATAATGTAGGGCATTAATAGAACAATTTCGCAGGATATAAAGGTCGGTACATCACCATGCTTCTACCACCGCTATATGCCTCACATTCTCTGTGAAAATGGGTCTGCTTCCAATTTTTTTTCTAAATGAGTATATGCATGTAATCCGGCTGTAAGGGGAGCCGCGACTCATCTTTAGTCCACTGAACATGCTCTTAGCAACAAAGTTTAAATTCACACTAACGGCACCATAGCAAATATAAATGGAAACTAGACTAGTTTCGACATTTCGCATGTTCTCTTCAGTCCAACGTTTGTTTGTGGGAGAAACACATAACGGAGGTTCCAATTCCTTGAATGGCATATGACGTCAGAATGGGGTTCAATTTAAAGTGACCTTTAGATGTGTTGACGTTTGGCAACCTTTGGATTAACGAACTTTCCAGAATTATTCTTTGGACATAATTTCTAGTTCTATGTATTAGCTTTGTTGGTTCCCAGCTTATTTTATGATAAAAATTATCTTGCGTGTAGACAAATAGTATTATTTGTCCGACCATTTTTAACATTCGTTTTGAGTTTCGTGAATCTGGTATCAAAATTTCTACCCATTTTACCAACATAAACGTTTTTCATACATGTCGGAGGACTATATGGATGCCATGTTTTTTATCTTGGGGTGCAGACATTTTTGATGGTACGAAATTTTTAATGGATATTTATATAAAAAAAAACTTTGAAATTGTTCTTAGTACTTTTGCACACGAGCTGTTTTGTACATGAATATAATAAGATGCACCTCATTTGACGTCTGGTATATAAGCCAGAAAGCCTTGTGAAGTCTATTTGTAATTATATGTATAATAAGGGAGCGCCCTGTTGCGGCTGCGAACATTTGATTCAATCTCGTAGACTATACCTTACGACTGCAGCGAGCCGAATCGACAGATGGCGGTCGTCTCAATAGTTATGTGCTCTTGTCTAGATGTTGAACAAGTATACCGTGGTTTGGAAGCAGTTCACACAAAGATACCTGTAACCAATTCACAACAGCCTACAGTGACTGGCCAGCTTCCAATTACCCGATGGCTCTCGACATGATTGAAACAACCATATGTTTTCCCTTGAAGTCTAATTATGGCTCATGACCAACGTGGACCACTTCAAACAACGTATGATTCATTTCAAAGTGGCGAATGATACAATATTTTGCAAGACAATTACACAGGGCTCATGCTGAATGACCAAATATTTGCATTCCAGATTACATTACTGATCATCATGTGCCTACTTTGTAATCAGTGAACTGAGAAGATGATCGAGATTATTTAGTAAGAATGATTTTTCCATTGTCATACATATATAACATTAAAAATTACAATTATATTTCAATTGTTTTATGCGGTGTAGAAATTATAATCTGTTGGAAAATACCTTTGGTGGAGATCTTCTTAAACTAGATCAAGAAACTACACACTAATTTTACCTCTGGACCATGGTAGGGAACTCCTTTAACGATTTCTGGCGAAGCATAAAGAGGACTACCACAGAAAGTACTCAATAAACGTCGATCGTTGAAAACATTCGATAAGCCAAAGTCTCCAATCTGGCAGATAATACAGTCTGAATAATGTAATCGAACTTAAAAATAGATAATATTAAAATGATTTTAGTAAATATAACAAATTTATAAGAGGTAAACAGTTTCGTATAAATGCACAACCGAAATCTTAAAATAAATTAGCAAGAATTTGAAATACTGCAAATTAACAAAAGTTCTTGCGCGCTGTACATAAAGAAATAAATCCAAACCAAAATGTGCTAGTGATTTGAATATTTCTCGAATATCGAATTAACATCGATTGTGTGTAAGAATAGGATTTTATATATGAACTTAGCTTTCTTAGACGGTAAGGCCATTTTTTATTTCTTGGTTTATAGATATTTTCATAGAAATTTTGGGTCAGAGGTCGAAAATCAAAGTTTTTATTTCTAGATATCAACTGTTGCATAGCGGTATGTCTGCGGACTTACAACACTAGAAATCGAGTTTTGATATTCGTGATGGGCAGAGTACAGATAGCTGGTTAATTCCAGAGAAAACAAACAAACTTTATTAGCAGCGTGTATAAATGAACTACGTCTCGAGAAAATGTATCACAAAGTCTCTGTGACTAGTGTAGACTCAGATCAACTTGAACATCCATACAGTCAGCTTAGAGTCTACCCCTGTTTGGAATACAATACCTAAAGTTCAAAAACTGTTTGTAGACGAGCGTAGATCCTGATCACACTGTATGGATTGATTTGGGTCTGCACTGGTCGCAGAGGCTTCAAAATAACTTCTCGAGTGATGCAGTTTATACATACTTGCAATGGTTGTGATAACATACAATTAATAAACGTCAAATTGTGTTCTCTTTTCTTTCCAATTTAAATCAACCACATTTGTCTAATTTTTTTAACCCTAGTTTTCAGGGCATTTCGCATGCACACTTTATGGAGGACAGTGATTTCGAAGCAGTGACCAACATCACAGTGCGTCAGCTTAGGTGGTCAGTGGCCTTTCAAAGGCCTGTTTATTCTGTGTTGACATGGGAGACATTTTTTGTACCCAGACCACCTTGATTTCAAAGTATTGTTTACAATTGAAGGAAAATATATGGACGTATATATGTGTGTGTGTATAAAGTTAGATAGATAGCAAATTTCTTAGCTTTACTGTTACTAAAATGTACGTTGACCCAAACTTCTTTAACATCTGCCCCAAAGTCTCTGACGACGTACCTGTTGGTTTGGTTTATCCTTAACATTTGACACTATAATACATTTAATCGAAACATTCAATTCCACATTAATGCGGGAAAGTGTATCTCCAATCGTTTCTTTGTGTTTGCCGAGTAAGAAAAACCTATGATTCATAGAATTGTTTTTAACATACAAAAAAAAAAGACGCCTACACCTTCCATCGTGTTTTTCCCAGCACGTAGTTTAAACGCTTGTAAACTGCTATACATGTGTAAGTCATCCTGAACACCACCTAAGTAGAGTTTATTCGGTTTCACCCTTAAAATATCTATCTATTAATATCCGTGTGGTTGGGAATGAAATCATCGGAACAAGTTAGGTTTTACTAACTTGATTAGGTTTGACGTTATATTTTATCATGTTCGGTATCAATTTACCTCGGCGGTAATATAATACGATAAAAGTAACTTTTTCCTTTATCTAAAAAATTACGGTGGACGGATCCTCAAACCAAGAAATAAACAAAATGGCCTAATCTCTAAAACAGTTTAAAAACTTAGCCTATTGGCACAAAATATTTTTGGTCATGAATAACACTTGAATATTACACACTGTTCTTTTCTAGCGTAAAAAGTTTGGTAATATGTTTTTAAAATTTGTTAAAACCGTTTTTAAGATTTACATGTAATATTAATATAAAATTTATGCATAGACAATAAAAAAAAACGCGTCTTAATTAGATTGAATTCAAAAACTTAATCAAAGACTACACACTTTGTTTTTTTAGAAATTGTAAATCACATTTTTGAGCCCACTCTGTCTATTCAAGCTAGTTACTTTTTTCCCCTCCTCTGTGACCACAAAAATCTATTTCTGATTTGTGAAAACGACAGTCGTCTTTTGGTTAAGATCTAAAAATAAAATAGTTTCTTACTTTCGCGTTTCCTTTCTCGTCCAACAAGATGTTTTCTAACTTCAGGTCTCTGTGACAGATTTTATTCTGAAACATAAAAATTAAATACATATTTATTATAGTGTAAATAACTTTTACAAGTTGGTGAAGCATGGTTATAATTATACTTGGTATACATTGGTATTAGGCCCATTATATTTTTTTGACTCACCACGTTCTTTAAGGATTTGAAGAATGTATAACAATAATAATATTCCAACCATACTATGTTATCCATTGCCGACGATGCATTTCGCTCAATCAAGAGCTCTTCAGGTCAGTTGGGATACAAAAACACGTTAGTGGTCGGAACACCATATATTTAAGCCATTTGTTACAACAACAGTTGTTGTGGTGTGAACGCCTTTTACAAGCTGGCGAAGCATATACCATTCAGTGCCTTGTGTGTCACGTAACTCTTCCTATACCGCTGGTCGCATCGGCTTCTAAGTGGTACCAAACGAATCGTCTCGGTACTGAGGTTGGCATAAAGGTAAAAAAAAAAAAAAAAAAAATCATCAAATCCTTTAGAGAACCCGAGTATTTCGTAAAAACACTTTTACGGGAATTCCCCAAGAGCGGACGCCATATTTGGCATTGATTTACATTAGAGCGCGTAAATAAGTAGGCCTACTAATTAACTTTCGTAACTTAGTTAAAGAAATTAAATTTTCATTATAGCAACAATGGTCATTGAATTTGCTTTATAGCGGCCCTATAAATGTGGGTCATAGGCCCATGGGTTTGCCAGTACTTATCATAAGACATTAGTATTAGGCCTATTATATTTTAAGCCCTATATTCTTTATCTAGTCCCTAAAGATAAAGAATTTAGTGTTTAAAAATATGATAGACCTAATACTAATGTCTTTTGACGAGTATTATCACAAATAAATGACTAGTTTAATATTTATTGTTTATTGAATCAAATAAAAATGTCTTGCAATGTGGAATTAGAATAACTGATCATTTGAGTCTATTGGTCAGTCGGTATAACTTATGTTTGTTTATTTTAATGATGAATAAATGAAAACTGTTATTTGACTTTACCATAAGAATCATATATAGTTACAATCAACTGACAGCTAACATACGTTGTCTTACTAATGCAAAGCAACAATGGTCTAAAGACCGAATATTTCTATTGTAAAATTAACGCAAAACTATAATAATCTGTAATATTCTAATTGTAGCACTAAAAGAAAACTATAATAATCTGTAATATCATAGTTCTAACATTATAACATTGAAAACAAAGCTACAACAGTCTTAAATAATTATAATTTACTTATAACATTAACACAAAGCTCTAGCGATGAATAAAATCATAGTTGTAACATTAACAGAAAATTATAGTAATTCATAATATTATACTTTGTTTTTAACATTAATACACGGCAGAAGCAAAGTATAATATCATATTCGTAACATTGAAAGAGAAACCATAGCAATTTGTAGTAACGTTTACCTCGTGCGAGTAATAAGTAGCAGCAGTGAGTTGACGAAATACATGAAAGTAAAATATATATAAACATTAAAAGATTTTACAGAATACTTACATTCTAACTACAATACATATCTGTAGTGAGCTGATAAAACACTTATCTTTGTAAAAATGATACAAAGTTGCAATGAATTTATGGTACTTGTGACAATAATACATAGATACAGTAAACTGACGTAACCCTTACCTTATGACAATAATACATAGATACAGTAAACCTATGTATTATTGTCACAAGGTAAGTGTTACGTCAGTTTACTGTATCTATGTATTATTGTCACAAGGTAAGTGTTACGTCAGTTTACTGTATCTATGTATTATTGTCACAAGGTAAGTGTTACGTCAGTTTACTGTATCTATGTATTATTGTCACTACAGTAAACTGACGTAACACTTACCTTATTACAATAATACATAGCTACAGTAAACTGACGTAACACTTACCTTATGACAATAACACATAGCTACAGTAACCTGACGTAACACTTACCTTATGACAATAACACATAGCTAGAGTAAACTGACGTAACACTTACCTTATTACAATAATACATAGCTACAGTAAACTGACGTAACACTTACCTTATGACAATAACACATAGCTACAGTAAACTGACGTAACACTTACCTTATTACAATAATACATAGCTACAGTCAACTGACGTAACACTTACCTTATTACAATAATACATAGCTACAGTAAACTGACGTAACACTTACCTTATGACAATAATACATAGATACAGTAAACTGACGTAACACTTACTTTATGACAATAATACATACATACAGTAAACTGACGTAACACTTACCTTATGACAATAATACATAGATACAGAAAACTAACGTAACACTTACCTTATGACAATAACACATAGCTACAGTAAACTAACGTAACACTTATCTTATTACAATAATACATAGCTACAGTAAACTGACGTAACACCTTATTACAATAATACATAGCTACAGTAAACTGACGTAACACTTACCTTATGACAATAATACATAGATACAGTAAACTGACGTAACACTTACCTTATGACAATAATACATAGATACAGTAAACTGACGTAACATTTACCTTGTGGCAATAATACACAGCTGCAGTGATTTGACGGAATAGTCTTCGAGCATCTGTTTCAATAAATACTTTCCTCTCACTAAGAAGATCATACAGTTCTCCTCCACTGGCATACTGCATAACAAGTACAATCTTTTCCTTGTTCTCGAACACTACAAGTAATTATATTAAAAATGTATTTATATATGAATATATAGAGGGACATTTAATCATCATTGAATAATTTATTTCGAGCGTCTACTTAGATGAGTAACAACTATTTGGGAACTCAGTCTAAGCAGTAATAACAAAGCAGTCAATTAGTACTAAGAAACTTAATTTGTATTAGGTCGTCAAGAAATTAATGTCGCTTTCTTTTAGATTAAAAAACCGAACAACTTGTATATCAAAACAAAACATTTATTAAATGAAATAGTCTCCATTCTTATCGATAATG